ACAGACAACCTCTCGTCAATATGCGTTTTTTGCATTGCATTGCTGCAAAAAACGCATAAAAATGAGCGCATGACCCATTATTCCCCATCCAACTGAACTAGGAAGTATTGTTCGAGATGGCCGGGAAAGGGTAATGCCTTGCTGTTAAAATCAACAAAAGAACCAGTATGATATCTGTGACAAAGAAGACATTGAGTCCAAAAAAAAAACTATAAAAACACTGTACTAGAGCTCATTAAGCTGTGCACAGTTCGCTTCAGTACCACACTGCATATTCTAACACACAGATTTTCTGGTTCTCGAGTTAGCAATTTTCCTGCCAAAAATGTTCATGGGCTCGTATGTGAGAGCAACGTATTACCTGTGACAATGACATTGAGTCCAAAAAAAAAGAAACTATAATAACACTGTACTGGAGCTCATCAAGCTGTGTAAAATTCTCTTCAGTATCATACTGCATATTCTAACCTACAGCTTCTTTGGTTTCCGAGTTAGCAACTTTCCTGCCAAAAATATTCATGGGCTCGTATATGAGAGCAACGTATTACCTGTGACAAAGACACTGAGTCCAAAAAAAAAAAACTATAAAAACACTGTACTGGAGCTCATCAAGCTGTGTAAAATTCTCTTCAGTATCATACTGCATATTCTAACCTACAGCTTCTTTGGTTTCCGAGTTAGCAATTTCCCTGTCAAAAGTTTTCATGGGCTCGTATGTGAGAGCAACGTACTACTTGTAGGCAAATAGGCAAAACCTAGAAGACCAATAAAAACACTCTACTGGCCCATTAAGCTGTACACAATTCTCTTCAGTATCACACTTCATATTCTAACATGCAACTTTACTAGTTCGCGAGTTAGCAATTTTCCTGCCAAAAACATTCATGGGCTCGTACGTGAGAACTATCTGTGGCAAAAAGACTGGGCCTAAAAAAACTACTAAAAAAAAAGGTTTAGTTGTGAACAATTCGCTTCAGTACCATAATGCATATTCTAAATAAAAATACACGCAAAAATATGCTTTTTTCTCCCCGAAATACTTCCTAATGCCCCGGTTTTTCATGGATCGCGAAAAAAAACAAGAATTTTTCACTTTTTCTTATTACAAAACAAGAATTTTTCACTTTTCCGTATTACAAAACAAAAAATTTTTCACTTTTCCGTATTGCAAAACAAGAATTTTTCACTTTTCTGTATTACAAAACAAGAATTTTTAACTTTTCCGTATTACTTTTCGCATGCTCCATTACGGCCTCCTGTATTTTTCCTTTCCGACTCATTCTGATGCTTCTTCCTTCCTATAAATCGTTATTCATCTCTCTCACTCTCTCGCGCCAAATAAACTTATATTTTCCATATAAAAAAAACATTTTTTTTATTTAATAATTAAGAGGCTGCACGAATGATTCCCACTCCTATCCGCACCATTATTCTATCTGTGTATACAGCTAAGGGATGAAACAGAGTGTTTACAGCTAAGAAATGAAACACAGACTACTTGCCCTACAAAATGCCGTGAACTCCATTCCTGCTGATCCTATACTTCGAATATGATGAAAATATGAGTAAATACTGAACAAACAAATTCAAAAAAAAAGCCCCCAAAAATCATTTCACTTTACAAAACAACAGAAACAAAAAAAAAAAAAAACACACAAAAAAAGTAAAAAATAACAAAAATGTTAGCTGGAATTAAGCCGAGCTCGGCAATTTTTGCAAAAAAAAAAAAGACATTCCGCTCATGATGCATCAAAAAAAACTTACTTCTTCGTACCAGTTCTCGTATTGGCTGATGATATTTCTGGGTCGAAGCCTCTTGTAATCACGTTGCTTGAATGTGAATGATTGTTGGCTGAGGCTTTTTGCGTAATATTTTTCAGTTTCACAACGCCACACTTTGTTACACTTTCCCCGCAACGTACGCCATTCCTCGTCCTTTTTTTGCATTCGATCGATCAATTTTGGCACCAAAATTTGTGGATTTTGCATAAGGCTTTCCAGCATTTTGTGCGCATGTTCACTGAAAATTCTTAAAAATTCTTAGAAAATTTCTTCTTAGAAATTTTCTTAGTGTTCTTAGAAAAACTTCTTAGAAAATTCTCAGAAAATATTTCTTTTTTGAAAAATAAAACTTATCTTACGATGGTTGTCAGCAGAATTGTCTAAAAATCAGTGTTGCTAAAATGTATCCAAATGCCAATGCTAACAGAATATTATTTGTTATTACTGTATATATTGTTCAGTCACCCAGTAGTTCCAGGCAAGAAAAATAATTGGCCAGCGCACCGACTAACGGAGTGAAGATGCGTTTTTTGCACAGTTCCCCGCAGGTTTTTGTCCCTAACGGTACTATTTTTTCCGGCAGATGCTCCTAGCCGCAGACTGGCCACCACGACTGTGAGAAAACATTCACTTAAAATTTCAGCTTTCTAGCTTTTCAGGTTCCTGACTCAGCAACTTATCCCCAAAAAATTTTCACAAGCCTACGCGTGAGAGACAACATATGCCTGGCAGATGGGTTTGAAATCGTTAATTTCTACTCGAAAAGGGGGCATTCCCTTAAGATTTCAGCCTTCTAACTTCCCTGGTTCCGAGTTCGCAACTTACCCTTGAAAATTTTTCACGGGTCGTACGTGGAAACCACATGCACATGGGAGTTAGATTCCAGTAAGATTCCAGCCTTCTAACTTTTCAGATATCCGAGGCAACTTATCAGTGAAAATTTTTCACGAGCCTGTACTTGGAGGACTACACATACTTGGGAGCTAGGTTTGAAAAATCATGAAGCCCTACGCAACGGAGAACATTCCCTTAAGATTCCAGTTTTCCAGCTTTCCAGGCTTCCCAGTTAGCAACTTACCAGCAACAAACTTTCACGGGCTTGTATTTGAGAAACATGTGGACAAAAGCGTCCGTTTTGGAAACAGGGGCCCGTACATGCATACAGATTAAAGTTCCCAAAGTTTCAGCCTTGCAGTTCTGCCGGATCTCGCGATGAAAAATCGGTACAGACGCACACACTCACACACACACACACACACTCACACACACACCCACACACACATACACACATACACACACAATCCTTTGACAATATGCGTTTTTGCATTGCATAGATGCAAAAAACGTAAAAAAAAGTAAAGTTTTAACACTTCTCCCTATTTATCTAGATGATAAATCCTAATTCAGTACTTTCGTCTAAAATTATTTTCGCTAAACATACCCATAAATTCTTTTTAAGGCCATTCGCACTGTTGCTGGTGAATCGCCGTTCAAAGCTTCATTCAACTGGAACTTGCTTAACTGTTCTTTGGTCATATTTGACATCCGGGCCTCTGCCGCTAGTAGAAGATCCAGTACTGTCTTGTTTATTTCAATGATAATGTCCAGCTTAAAAAAAAATTCGATATTTAAACATATAAAAAATAAATTTCCGTCTAAATTCGACGCCTCAAAGTTAGTCAGGATGGTCTTTAGAAGCTTTTTTTTTTAAAAAAATTACACCATATTCTCAAAAATCAAAACTCGTTCTCGTTCTCTGAAGCGAAAATCTTCCGGTACTTTTTACTTTTTTTGGACCCCTTTGAACCGAAAATCCTCCGGAAACTAAAAATTTTCATTTCTAACTGAATAAATTTAAGCAAATAAATTTTTTCTATTTTTATCTGAATTGAAGTTAAACATCACGCAAAATTATGTTACACTGTGTAGACCGAAATCACGAAAAAACGTTTTATCGTAGTTCTAATCGCAACTTTTCGGGAAAATAATGAATTTTTTACAAAAAAAGGGGAAAAAAAGCTACCTCATAGCGCTCATCATCGGTACGAAACATGAATTCTTCGAATTCTGTTTTCTTGGGAAGCACACAGGAGCTCTCCTCGGATGACCAGGATGGGAACGAAACCCATCTATCGTTGAGAACAGAATCACACAGTGGTGTACGTCCGGAGCAAAGTGGCTTCTCGTATGAATCAGGAAGTGCACGATAGCTCGGACCAAGCTTTCGAGAAGTTGCATAATCTGAAAAAATCCTACACATTACGGGATTTCAATGCATTGGTCCAAAAAAATTATAATTTTATACGATGCAATAATTATTTCCTTGTAATAATTACGAGATGACACATACACACACACATACACGCACGCGCACACACACACACACGCACAAACACAAACACACACACATACACGCACACACACACAAACACACACACATACACACAAACACACACAGATGCACATACAAACACACACGCACACATACACAGACACACACATACAAACACACATACATACATACATACATACATATACATAGATTTCTACAGGATGACAGCCACATCGCAAGCGTCTATCTCTTCATACGTGTCAATTTAGATAGTTTGTGCAATGGAGGGTTCAATCCGATGTTGCTGGAATCGACTGACGGTTCCACATGTTCCAAAAGGAAGAAGGTGCTAGCAGAAAAGAAAATTGAAGTTGTCGGCTAAACCCCTTCGCCTTGCCCAGTTGCTCTTCGGTTCACTGTGATATGCAAATGTCCTGTCTCTTCACTCGAGTTCTCCCTCCGTGATATTTAATGTGGTGGTTAGAAATAAAATGTTTTATTGAATCCAAAAATTATGCAGCGGTAGCATGGAGCAGTTGCCGGGTTGTTCTCGCTTTGTAAGTTCTTTTTTTTGTTGTTTTAAATAAAGTATCGTTCGCTAGTTTGGTGTGTGTGCCCCCACAGTTGCACACCGCACACATCCCCCCTTGTCATACACACACACACACACACATATATATACACACACACTAACCGTCTTCACGCCAGTCAAGCGCTAGTCCCGGCCTTTCTATATTAGCGTTTACCCTACTAACGGGGTCTCGAGCAACGAATTCTTGGACGATCTTCTTCACGGTGGAATTGCTAGCAACAAGGAAACGAAGTTGCCGACTAAACCCCTTCACCTTGCAAATTTTCTGGAATTACGCGTATCACCGCTGGCGCAATCTTTTGTGTTAGCATTCATAAAGATATAAACCTTATTCTTCTGCCGCGTCGTCCTCAAGCGCAAACCAAAGCTAACCCGGACCGTACAAGTCTTTATGTATTCATACCTATGCTACCTGGCAATTACTTGCTTTTCTCCATATTTATTGATTTCCACGGTTTTTCTTCCTTATCCCATTCATTTCTTCTATTCCGTTAATACAGGTATATTGCTTAATTGACCGAAACGTCTTATCTTGCTCTTACCTTCTCTAATCTACACTATCCCTTTCCTCCCTCCATATTTATTGGTTTCCACAGTTTTTCTTCCTTATCCCATTCATTTCTTCTACTCCGCTAATACAAGTATATCGTTTAATGGGTCGAAACGTCTTATCTTGCTCTTACCTTCTCTAATCTACACTATCCCTTTCCCCTGAACTCTTTCACACCTTGCCATCTGCACTTCCTGGGTCAACTTGGATGCTGCAGTCTGTTCCAGGCAGCTTTCCGTTGGGTCCAGAAAATGCGGTTGCTGTCGTGTCAAAACACGAAAAGTGATAGATAAAACTTGTTCTCGAATGTTGTATTTTGTTTTTTTGTGTGTAAATAAAAAAATATGTAAAAGGGGATCACAAGGAGGGAGAAGGATTTTGAACTGCTGGGGTAGGAAAAGTGGTCATTCCTAAAAGAACGGGCTTCTGGATACGGCGGACTGGAAGAAAATTGCGGCTTAGAAGGGTGGATTGAGCGGGGAAAAGAAAACTGCTGGCGACCGTCAGGGGCCGACGAAAGGAATATCCTGTGGAGTGGTTGTGCTTTGGAATCGAAACGTGTATTATTTAAGCTACGTGAACGTTGTATTTTTGAGTCTGGTGTTAAAATAATAAATTTATTTCTTTGCTTAGAGCGCAGTTAATTTGATCAGAAGCGTAAATCAAAAGATCGACAGCTGTCACAAGATGAAATGAAAGGAAAAAAAAAACTTTTGTAAAATCAAGAAAAAAAAAGAAACCAAAGGGCCTAAAATCCCGGATTTTAGACTTACCAATGCGATATTGCAGCTCTAATTCATCATCCCTTAAAGGTCGTCGTTCCTCATGCAACTGTTGTCTGTCACTGCACGTTTCCGGCATTGCCAACAATTCCTTTATATGCTTCAATACTATGCCGTAACGACTGAAAAAATTCGCATTAATGTGTTAAAGCATCCAAAATAAACTCAAAAAATTGGCCAATGAGCTTGACTGCCGGTGCGAAGATGCATTCTTTGCATAGTTCCCCGCAGGACTTTGCCGCTAACAGCACCGGTTTTTCCGGCAGATTCTTCAAGCTAGAAGAATTAAGACCGCCCACCATGACTTTCAGAAAACATCCATTTAAAGCTCCAGCTTTCTAGCTTTTCTTGTTCCCGAGTTAGCAACTTGCTTGCTAAAAACTTTCATGGGCCCGTACTAGGGGATCGTGTGGGTATTGCCAACAGCTCTTTTATATGCTTCAATACTATGCCGTAACGACTGAAAAAATTCGCATTAATGTGTTAAAGCATCCAAAATAAACTCAAATAATTGGCCAGTGAGCTCGACTGCCGGTGCGAAGATGCATTCTTTGCATAGTTCCCCGCAGGAATTTACCGCTAATAGCACTGTTTTTTTCCGGCAGATTCTTCAAGCTAAAAGAATTAAGACTGCCCACCATGACTGTCAAAAAACATCCGTTCAAAATTCCAGCTTTCTAGCTTTTCTGGTTCCCGAGTTAGCAACTTGCTTGCCAAAAATTTTCACGGGCCCGTACTTGGAGATCACGCGAGTAAGAGCGCCTGTTTTGGGGAGAGAGGCCTGTACGTGTGTGTAAATTAAGTCCCCAAAGTTTCTGCCCTATAGCTTCTGTAGGTTTCGAGATGTGAAAACTCGGTACAGACGCGCACACACACACAGATAACCCTTCACATATATGCGTTTTTGCATTGCAAAGATGCAAAAAAACGCATAAAAAGGGCATTTTTATTTCCATCATTTCAATTTGCTGCTTCTTTTCTCTCTTGTTTCGTCGGGATTTCTAGTTAAGACTTAAAACAATAGAATTTCGGGGACAAAAAATTGAATTTTCTTGAAAAAAAAAGTAAGCAATACCCGAGAAAATGACCCAGAAGCTCCACGAGTTCATCTTTCGAAATAATGCTCTTATTGTACAACGAAAGACAGCGTAAGAAATTATTATGTACACCCTCATCTGCCAGAGCCTCTCGAATCTGAAAAATGCCACGAGATATTTCAAAAAAAGTGAAAAATATGCTTAAAAATCGAGAACTCTGCTGCTTAAAGATTAGATATGGGCAACCGCTGGCGACACGTGGACCTGGTTTACATACTTACTTAAGCTCACCGGTCTTGCCCGCGTTCGGTAGCATCAGCTAATGAAACGTATCAGTCTTGCCCAAGCGGCCACGAGTCTGAGCTAAACTTGATGTAGTCAGATTGTTAACGGTATGAATGGTTGCTGCTTTACAGTTTAACACATGCAACTTATGTACCTGTGTTTTGGCCTTTTCTTGCATGCCCAGGGAAAGGGCTGGCCTGGTGAACGTCGTTATTTATTTATTTTCATGAGAATGTAGTGGCTTGGCGAAGTACAGACCCATCCCCTCCTGCCCCCGTCTAGTTAGGCACCACATTCCGATTGCCTCCGTGGGCCGAAGACCCGGCCTGCGGGTCGCCGGTTGTCCACCTGTGCTTCAGATCATGTAAAAGAGAAAATACATTTTCTGGACCGGAAGAAGACATCTTTCTTGTCAATATCCCCGCTTTTGAGGTCTTCGAAAAGTAAACAAAAGATACCTCAAGTTCTCAGTCATGGCACAACTCATTTTCTTCGAGAAGCAATCGCAAAAAGATCTACACGTAACATCTTGTACTACGTCTGTGGCAGTGCTATGCCACAAAAACTTTGCCGTGAAACAAAGCTCTGTAAATTCCCATCCCATTTCGTAGCACCGATTCTGCCGTCTGTGTTTACAGCTCAGGGATTAAAGATAGGATGCCAGCTCACAATACATACGGGCTTGCTTATTTGGGAGATCTAAATGGCACACTTCCAGGTTTTCGTTGTCAAAATTCGATTCTGTTCCTCTCCACGCTGAACCAACAGCGCCAAACAGAAACTGCATATGTTAACACACAGAAGATCTCAGGCCCCCAATCTCTTCCACTTTCCTAGCCAGGGATATTCATTGTTTGTGTAAATGCGATGTCCCCACCCCCAACCAAAATGATAAAATACAAAAATAAAACAAAAACTTGAATCATCTTTCGATGAAATTCCAGTGGGACGTCGGGAAGCGACGTTTCCATTGGAGATGGGACATTCGACAGGAATCCGACTCACCATTCCCAAATCACCTTTTCCCCCGTCGACTTTCCCATCATAGATTGAATCTATGACGGCCCTGAGCTATTCCTGGTTCCCACAGTACTCAGTCTGAAATCCTGGATTCGGAGATTGTAATGCCTAATATCTATTGCAGGAATATATGTATATAAGCCGGAAGATTCGATGGTTCGTGGTCCGTGCGCATCGTCGTTTCCTCTCACCGGCTGAGTGCCCTGCATCTAGTGAACTATCCCCACCATTGTTGGTGATTCGTCAGGCCTTTATTCTGTGCCTCATTATTATCTTGTGTAATAAATCCTCTTTCGTTGCTACGTTGACCCGGCACTACATTTGGTTCCTTCGATCCATCGACACTGTTACGCGTGGTATCAAACCTACCCCTTTTAACTTTCTTCCCCTTCCCCACCTCCTCTCCTCCCCCCACTTTCCCATCGTAGATTGAATCTATGACGGCCCTAAGCTATTCCTGGCTCTCACAGTACTCAGTCTGTAATCCTGGATTCGGAGATTATAATGCCTGA